TGGGGAGGGGAGGGGAGGTGGGCTCAGGCGGGAACGCGGGAAACTTAAGACTCTCCTGAGCTAAATCCCACCTTCCTCATTTCAGAGCTGAAGGTAAGGAAGCCCAGAGGGCAAAGGGCGCCCCCAAGGTCACTTAGCCGTTGAGGGCAGAATTAGGCCAACAACTTGCTAATTGGTGTGTGACCTGGACCAGCGGCCTTCTCATTAACATAACAACTCTTCCTTTGTCAGGCTTGGCTTGTTTTTAGTGAAATGGGTATTTGCAAACTGCCCCCAGCCCTGGGGGCGGCAGTGTCTTCAGCTCTAAAATAAAGGGATCCATTCGAGCCAGTCTTCCAGTTTTAAGCATTCCTGAGTCCTTTAGGAGAGTTAGATGTTTGCAAAGTAAGACTGAGTTTTGGAAAAGAGGAGAAACTGGCTGGGAAGAAAGGTGGAGGTGGGGCAAAGTCTGCAGGAGGGGCGTGGGAGGAGACTGCAGGGCTGTGAAGGGGCAGGATGGATGCCCACAGGCCCTTAAAGGAGCTTCTGGGTTCTGTGCTGTTCGCAGACCAGTGTCCTTGAGGATCCTGCAGGGGTGGGCCGGCTGGCTGTCAGAGGGGCCCTTTGTGTGCGCGGAGTCTGCACAGGTGAGAGAGCGCACTGTGGGCTGGAGAGGCAGGGAGATGTACTGGGGGAGGGGGCTCTTGAGGGGCTGGGGCACTGCTGGATTTGGCAGCCAGGAAGAGGAGTGAGGGCGGGGCACAGGGCCTGGGAGGAACCGGTTTACTGAACTGCGGGTCATGCCTGGGAAATGCACTCTTGTGCCCATGAACCACACCCCCTCCTGCTTGCAGGGCTGTCCTGGTGAGTCCTGCCTTGTCTTCCCTGATGCGGCTTTATGTCTCTCAGCCTGGGCAGCCTCCTCACGCCTGGCTGCTCACCCACCGTGGGGCTGCACCTGTGTTACCCCCCACCCTCACCCCATGCTCAGTCCACTTCTGAGCTGGGTCACTCTCAGGTCACATCTGTCCGAGAGGGCCTGGCTGTTCTCCTGAGACCCCAGCCCTGTCCGGGCCTTGGACAGACAGTCCTTGGACTGGATGCCCTTTCTGCTCCCCTCAGCCCTGAAATTCTGCAGTGGCACATGCAAGTCTTTTCTGCTGAACAAGATGTGCAGGGCCTCTGTGGTGGGGTTTGTGCCTGGTGGCATTTTCCGGGGCCCTCCCCACTTCCAGACAGCCTCGTGCAGGCAGGCAGACCTGGAATACAGGCTGGCTGGTCTTGGCTCTCAGGTGGCTCCTGGCCCAGGGTCCGCCCTCCTGCTGCGCAGAGCCGTCGCGCAGGAGGAAGGTGGTGCAAAGCACACCTGTACCAGCGTTCTGGACCTTTTGATTTTGTTCTTTTCGCAGTTAGCGCTCTGAAAACATTGTTTGTTTATTTCCTAAGTAGGAAGTGGTCTCCTAGTCTAGTAGCTAGTGTGTTACAGTGTCACAGGACACAGGGACGGAAAAGAGGCTGGTGAAGGCGTTTGCCTTCCCCTCTCTGTCCAGCCCACCTTCTCTGGGCTGAGGGGTGCAAATCCCCCCTTGATACGCAGGTGCCATGTTTGGGGGGCTTCGCCTCCCATGAGACCAGACCAGGGACCTCCTGGTGTTGCTTCATCACAGCTCAGCATCTTAAACCTTGACCTCCTGTGAAATCATGCAGTTCCTCTTTGATCCTAGCCTCTTGTGTCATCTTCCAGCGTGTTGCAAGGCTCCTGAGCAGGGAGGGACTGGGGGCTATTCGCGGAGCCCTAGGGTTGGGTGATGCCATGGGAAGATGTCTGGAGGGGTGCATCTGTGGGCGGCACCCACCGTCACATGGGGGTGGTCTGGTAGGTGTCTCTGTTCCCAGGGTGGCTGTGTGTGGTGTCACAGGGGTGCCGCTCCAGTGCTTAGGACACAGTTCCTACACTGACCTCAGCGCTGAAGCCAGTCTCCAAGGTGGGAGGTCCAGGGGGAGAGCCTGCGGCCGGTTTCCCTTCCCTGTCATCTGCCCCAGCCCCCATCCTCTGCTCCAGGGCAGACTGCGGAGGGGCACTCCCATCCCCACAGCATCTCCGAAAAGGGAAGGGCTGTGGTTGCCCCAGCCCCCATCCTCTGCCCCAGGGCAGACTGCAGAGGGGCACTCCCATCCCCACAGCATCTCCGAAACGGGAAGGGCTGTGTTCTGTCCTTGGAGCTCCCTCACCTATGTGGGCCACTCTGCAAATAAGGTGGCTCTCGGGTCTTGCCGCCCAGGGACAGGCCCATGTCAATGCTGGGCCACCGCCAGGCCTCTGCTCAGAGTGCACAGCTATGGCTGGAGGCTGAGGCTTGGGTGGACACCAGTGCCCAGTGACTTTTTGGTTTTGGTGTTTATCTCTTTTTTTTGAGGTCTGATTGAGGTCTGAACCTCCAAAAGGCTGTACCTGTGTGTGAATTTGGAGATAAGTGTATATTTGTGGAACCATCACCATCATCTGTGCTGTAAGCAGAGCCGTCGCCTCCAGGGTGCCCTCCCGCCCCCTCGTGTATTATTTGCAGGTCTGGTAAGAGCAGCTGACATGTGACCGACTCTCTTAGCAAGTGTGTAAATGCACAGCTTGGTAACCACCAGTGGTGGACGGTACTGCGGACTCGGCCCGGCACTGGCACTCCATCTCAGCACTTACTCGTGTCGTGTGACTGGAACTGCGTCCTCTGACCAGCCCCTCCTGTCCGCACCCCGGCACCCACCTTCACCTCTGCGTCCCCGAGCTTGGTTGGTTCGATTCCCCGTGTGAGCGGCACCACGTCGTAGTGTTTGCTCTGACGTGTCCAACTCATTTCTCTCGGCGTGATGTCTTTTACCTTCACTCGTGTTACCACAGATGGCAAGATTTCTTCCTTTTCGAGGCTGCGTAATATTCCATTATCTGTCTACAGCACGTTTTCTTTATCCGTGTGTCTCGCTGGACGTTCAGGTTGTTCCCCTGTCGTGGCTGTCATTAGTAGCACTGCAGTGAACAGGGGGACGCAGATCTTTCTTCAAGATCCCGAATCCAGTTCCTTGGGAGAGTGACCCGGGGTGGGGTCGCCAGCTCGCGCAGTAGTGCTGTTCTTAATTTCTGGGGAACCTCTGTGCTGTTCCCACAGTGGCTGCGCCAATTTGCGTTCCTGCCAACAGTGCGTGAGGGCTTCCCTTCTTACCCTCGCCAGCGATTGCCATCTTCTGTCTGTTGTTTATAATAACCTTCGTAACACGTGTGAGGTGACGTGTCCTTGTGGTTGAATTTGCATTTCCCTGATAATTCGAGGTGTTGAGCAGCTTTTCATGTACCTGTGGGCCATTTACATGTTATATTTGGAGAAATATTCAAGTTCTTTGCACCCATTTTTTTTAACTCAGGTGATTCCATTCAACATAGTCCTGGAAGTTCTAGCCAGAACAGCTAGGCAAGAAGAAGTGAAAGTCATCCAGATCAGAAAGGAAGAGAGAGAATTATCTGTTTGCAGATGGCATGGTCTTATATGCAGAAAGCCCTAAAGATTCCACAGAATAACTTGGATTAATCAACAAGTTCACTACAGTTAGAGGAGCAGAGTCAGTATGCGAGCGTCAGTTGCCTCTCTGTACGCCAGCATCAAACTGTCTGAAAAGGACAGTGAGAAGTCAGTCACATTCACAGTAGCATCAAAAGGCATAAAGTGCCCAGTGACGTTTAGCTACGTGTTCTGGGCCAGCTTCCTGACCTTCCTGGGCCTCGGTTGGTCCGAGCAGCCTGCAGGGTGGTTGTGAAAGTTTCAGAGACAGAAGAGAGAGTGCCAAGGTGGTGAGGTCCCCTGGCAGGAGGGCGCCTGAGATGTAGACCCGTGCCCACCCCGCAGGCCGAGGGCCTCTGTCTCTGTGAGCCGCGTGCTTCCTGCACAGCTGCTGTTGTGGAGTCAGGAGTTACTTTCTTTCATGTTTGACAGAGTCTACTTTGCGTTTGGTTTCTATTAACTGGTTTTCTTCGTGTGAGGAATGACCGTTTAGCTCAGAGTTAAAGGGATTGGAGGAGTCAGGAGAGCAGGCACCAGGTGTTTGCACGTGGCCTCCTTGCCGGGACCCCATGGCTGTGTCTCAGGGGCGCTGCTGCCCCCGTGGGCGTCTCCAGCCCCGGGCCTGCAGGCCTCCATGCTCCCCAGGAAGGTTGGCACCAGAGGGCAGCTGTCTTTGTGTGACGCGTTGGGAGGTTTAGACCTGCCGGGGTCTCAGACCCGGGAGGTAGTGACTCGCAGGGGGCGTGACAGTCACACTGGTGGGCACCAGAGTCTGCCAGCCGTGGAGCCCCTGCCCTGGCGTCAGCGCCTCGATTCCCTCAGAGCCCTGGGGAGTCAGACAGACAGGAAAATCAGGGTGAGTGGGGACCACGGGCTGTGGTTTGTCCAGCAGCCTGAGGTCCCCAGATCTGTCCCCCCGGGGTGGAGCTTGCTGGCAGTTGGAGGACACGGGTCCTCCCCCACAGCCGCAGAGAGGGCCACCTTGGGCTGTTGTGCTGCCACACAGGCCACAGAGAGCGGAGCCGGGAGCCTGTCCCTCCACCCTCCCCCGCTGCACCTCCCGCTGCAAGCAGGCCCCTAGTGGTGACACTGAGCTCCTGGGCCTCAGCGCCCGTGCCCTCGGCATCCTGGGTGGGCTGCAGGCCTCCCTTTGGGCAGCACAGCATCACTCAGTAGGAGCCTAGTAACAGAGCAGCCAGCATCTGTGTGCACGGAGTCAGAAACGGGGATAAGCCTGTCACCAATGGAGATGCAGTAAACGTGGACCGAAGGGTGAAGCCCTTAGCGCTCTTCTTCCTGCTAGCGGGCCCCTCCCTCTGCCTTTCCCACCATCCCGCCTCCCTGTGCCTCATGGCCCACCTCTGGGAATGCAGGTCAGAGGAGGCTGTCACCTCCAGAGCTGGGGAGCCGGCTGGGCAGGCGGGGCCAGGTAGGCCTGCCCTGGGCGGCGATTAAGAAGCCTGGGGCACCCGCGTGCAGTCGTGTGGACTGCGGGAAGCAAGCTGGGGGAGAAGAGGGGACGGGAGACCGCAGTGAGCACAGGCCTCCGGAGAAGGCCGCAGGCAAGGGCCCGCCCCAAGGGGAGCCAGCAGAGGAGATGGAGAACCCGGGCCTGCTGTCACCTGTGCCTTCTGGCTCGTGCTGGGGGACTTCCCCTGATAGGTTCCAGGCTCGTGGCGGGTGGGCCCCAGGTTTTTCTGGCATCTCCCGAAAGGCCCTGCAGAGCTGGGAGAGCCCAAGTTCTGCCAGGTGCCCATTAGGGACACTGGGGACTCTGGCAGTTCTCGTCCCCTTGGGCGGGAACCCTTTACAAAGGTTCTCGGCTACCATAGTGGCCGTCCCCAAGGGTTCGTTCTCATGACCCTTTTAACCTGAAAAGCCTGGTGACCACTGTTCTCCCGAACCTGTGCGGTTGATAAGGGGCCGCTTTGTCCTGGGGCAGTGTTCGGGGGTGAGGACTGAGCTCCGGCCGCCCAGGAGAGCCTGCAGGGCCCATGGGGTCAGGTGCTGGGAAGTGACATCTGAGCTGGGGCCTTGTGACCAGCAGGTACAGTGGTCTGGAGACAGGTGGAATGTGCAGCATGTTTGCTCCCCCGGCCTGGCCTGAGCCGACAAGCGTCAGCAGTAAAGGCCAGAGCCAGGGCCTGGGCCTCTTCTCGGTCTGCCTGGGTTCTGTGCTCACTTCCACGGGATGACGATGCTTCACGAGGCGGTGACAGTGGCCCAGAGCCTTGGGGCCACAGAGCACAGGTGCAGCCCTGGTTCCCCTCCTCGACCCGGTCAAGGGGCAGAGAAGCGCTGGAGCATCTTTACTGGGAATGGGCCCTCCCCCGGGGGGCTTATCCCGGCAGCCTCCTCTGTCCTCTCGCTGGGGCGCGGTGGCCCATGCCACCGAGGCTGCCTGGCCACCTCCAAGCCCGGGTCCCACACGCCCAGGGCAGCAGCTCACTCAGCAGCCTTGGTCACGTGTGAGCCCTGTCTGGGCTGGTGTGGCCGAGAGAGGCCGGGTGAGGGAGGCCCAGCGTGGCTGGGCCGGATGCTGTGAGCGGCGGGGGGCACCCTGGGTGGGGTGCTGTGAGGAGGAGGGGCTGCTGGGCCCTCCTCAAGCCGCAGAGGGGACTTGGGAGAGACCAGCTCCAGGACAAGCTGTGATGCAGGTCGACTGGGCATCCTGGCCCCTCCGTTCCTCGGCTGTTTCCTGAGAATGCCAGTCCTCGGAGAGGGTGACTGGTCTGAGGTCAAGCAGGTTCAGGACACTGGGCTCACGGAGCTGCTAGCTTCCTCTGCTGCAGGACTTGTCAGAGCCTCTGATGTGCTGGTGTCACAGAGCGCTGAGGTGTTCACATCCTGGGTCACGCAGATCTTGGCAAGCCTGCTTTACAAAGAGGAACCCAAGTTTTGTGAAGGACGTGGCTTACTTTGCCCAGCGCACCCAGCCGGGCAGGCCTGAGCTGGGGCTCACGAGGAAGGGGCATTCTGACCAGCGGTTCTGGTGCAGGGACACTTGGTGTGGCTTTAGACATCAGCCGTTAAACCTTGAGAACACAAAGCAGTGGTTCTGACAGACGGCGTCCCCCAGCCTTCCCTCAGCACCACCCACCCCGTCAGAGCTGGAGTCGCGTCGGGGATGGAGTGAAGTGCGCGTTTCTGGCGGCCTCACTGGACCCCAGCGCCCTGCACTGCCGTGGGGTGGAGGGGCTGGGGAAGCCCCCGCACGGCCCGCGGGCAGCAGGTAAGTGGAGCACTGAGTCCTGCCACACAGGGTCAGGCTCCCTGGTCTGAAGGCTCTGGAGTTTGTTTAGAGCCCAGGGTGCGCTTCAGAGGCTGGGACGGGACGCAGGTGTCCCTGCTCCCCACAGGGTCGACGAGAGGTGAGGCCGGCAGGGCTGAAGCTGCGGTGATGTGTCTGCACCAGACCTCCCGGGCTCGGGGCTCACGTTGACGTTGCTCAGCCCGCGCAGTCCGGTTCACAGGGGCTGCCGCCCGGGGCGGCCGGGGGCCCGGCTGCCGCGCAGCCTCCTCCCGGGGCCCTCTCCTTGCGTAGCGTCAGTTTCCTTGCCGCACCTTCCCGCCCTCACCTGGAGCCCTTTCTCCCAAGGCTCTAGCACCGGGGGGCTGTCCTCCGCCCTGCTGCTCACACGCACACTGGTCCAGCCAAGCCCGGAGTGGACGAGTCCCCCAGGACAGCCAAGCTGTCTGAAGTCCAGTCCGGCGCCCTTGCCCACTGTCCCGTCTACCACGGGAGCCCCGACTCACGGCCCTGCATTCTGTCTTGTGTCCTGTGTCACTCCGCCAGTCCCTCAGGGGTGTGGGCACCTGTCACATTAGCTCATTGGTTTTTAAAGCTGCAGGTTTAATGGAACTTGCACAGCCTTCCATGTCATTTTGACTGACAGGTGGTGCCAGCCCTGAAGCTGTGAGGTGGCTGAGCCTGGAACAGGGTCTGTCAGGAGCTAGAGGTCCCTTCTCAGTCCCGCAGCCCGTGGCCAGCGCAGCCCCACGTCCCTCGGTCGGCCAGCTCCTGGCTCAGGAGCTGCTCCACGGGGGAAGGGCTTCCCGGCCAGTGTCCCGAGGGAGCCATGGCTGTGTTTTTTGGTTTTTGTTTTAATCGGACATTTTCCATAAATTCAATCTGCCCTCTGATCGTTGCACTGTCTTTTATCCTAGTTATGTAATACGAGGAAAAAGTATTGGTTTCCTGACCAAGCCCTGCATTCGTGCTCCCGCATCCCCCCACCCCGTTTCCCCAGGTGTCCCCGAGGTGTCCTCAGGGTCCAGGCTGGGAAGCTGAAGCATCCCGTTACAGGAGCCAGCTTTCCACTGGCGCCCACACGCTTGGGCTCCCTGGGGACTTGGGGTCTGGCGAGGCCAGAGAGCGGGCTCGGGACACAGAGGCCAGTGGTCTCCACACTGTGGGCAGAGGTCTCCGAGGCCCGTTTCTTGCAGGCCATGTCGTTGGTCACCACGCAGCAGGTGTTCAAACAGTCTCTGTTCTTGTCCCACAGCTGGGCCTTACTCCTGTGAAACTGTCTGAGCTCCATGCCGACCTGAAGATACAAGAGCGGGACGAATTCAAGTGGAAGAAGCTGAAGGCTGAGGGCTTGGATGAAGATGGGGAGAAGGAGGCAAAGCTTATCCGCAGTCTCAACGGTACCTCTCTGTGTTTCACCGAGGGAAGCGGGCTCCTAGCTCAGCCCCACATCTCGTTCTGTCTCTGGTTTGTGGGCAGGACGAGAGGTAGCCCCTCCTCGTGAGCCCGTCCTCGGCAGAGCGGCCCTCGGCTATAAGCAGGCGCAGCCGCCGGGCTGTCCTCTGAGGGCTCTCGGCCAGCGAGCGCGAGGGCCGGGGCGAGGGTGTCCGGCCGCGTTAACGCGCAAGCAGCCAAAAGCCCAGGGCTGCCTGGTCCAGGGAGGGCAGCCAGGGGTGGCCAGGTGCCTGCGGTCACGTGGAAGAGAAAGTAGGGGTGTCCCAGGCCCTAGTCCACCCGGTGAAGAGCAGAGCCCTCGCCGAACCAAGCCTGGTGCCGCTCCACACGGGGTGCGAGCAGTCGGGCCCAGAGTCCACCCACCGTCTCAGGCTCCCTGTGCACTCCAGGTGGCCTGGGGCTGTGAGATGGAGGCGCACAGGGGGCACAGAGAGATAGCCAGTGGTCAGCTCCCTCCCAATGACACCTTCACCTGGACTCTCACTGCCAGACCCTGTCCTCCTGGGAGCAGCTTCCAGCCCAGACAGTGTCCAGGTTCCTGTCACAGGTCTTGTGGGTGACGTTGGTTCCTTTGTGGGCGCCTGGGTGACCTCAGCCAGCCTGGAAGGAGCTGGAGTGCTGAGGCAGGCCGTCTGAGTGTCCGTTCTGCGGGACTGTTCACCGAGTGGCTGGCCGTCTTCTTGATGTGGTCCACAGGACCCCGTCTGCCATCCCCTCGGTGCCCTCCCCCACCCCACGCCATTTTCAAGGCAGATGCTGAGTAGTACAGCATCCAGACCAGGACCCGAGCGTGACCGGGCCTGTCCTGGGCCCTGACGGCGCTCGCCCTGGTGTGCCCCCACACTGGAGGGACAAACTCCGCAGGATCTGCCTATTCCCGACCGAGGTCTTGCCGGCACACTCAGCCCACCCAGTTGAGTCCTGAGGAGACGGGTCCTGCCCTTTCTGCTCTGCAGCCTCACACCCTGGGCTGGGCCGCCCCATGGAGTGCACTCCAGGGGTTCAACCTTTCCTGGAAACAGGAGGCTGGGCTTGGGGCTGCCGAGTGCACCCCAAGACTCGTGTGCCTTGCCTTGCCTGCTGGTTCTGCCTTCTGCTGGCTGCAGGCACTGGCTCGAGGACCTGGACAGCCCAGTGCTTCTCCCCGCCAGGCTCAGGGCCACTGGGGTCATTCCGGGTGGGTTGGGGTTGCCAAGCCCGGGGCTCCTTTCTGCACTAGTGATGCAAGGCCGGGACTCTGGCCCAGGATGACCGCTGCATGGGCCTCGGAGGCAGTGCCAGGCCCCAGCTCTCTGGGCCGGGACATCCAGTAGCCTTTTTTCCAGATAGTTTTAGTGTATAAGTTACACGTGGTAAGATGCTGGTCTCAGTCTCAGGGTGTGATGGATTTTGTGATCTCCCCTGAAGGCCCTGCCCCAGGCAGCGTCCATCACTCAGTGTGGGGGGGGCTTCTGCAGTTTAGGGCGAGGACCACGGTCTGCTTTTTTACGTTTAGGGAAAGCACAGACTGGACGCTAAGAACATACACATTTCACAGCTCATTCCATTGGTCTAAGCATCCGGGAGAGTGAGTTCCGAGGTGCAGGCAGTGTAGGCAGAGAAGTGAAACCCCAAAAGCCAAGATTAGGCCGGGCAGGGCCGTGGGGCCCCAGGGCGAGGAGCTGGATGTGGAGGCTGCACAGGTGGGCTGCAGGCGCTACTTGCGTCCACCACCTATTGGGGTAAAGTCCAGAGGAGGGGCTGGAGGTCAAGGGTCAGGGGCCACTGCTTAGATGAGGACCCCAGGGATGGGGTGCAGGGGGAAGGAAGCCCTGTGCCCAGTTCCTGGGGAAGACAGGATGGGGAGCTTGGGAGAGGCCCAGGGTGCGGCCGTGGAGGGGACAGTGGTTCGTATCTGCTATCTGGAGGACCTGTGTCCCTTCAGATCAGGGGGCTGGGTCAGACCCACTCCCAGCTAAGGAGGCAGGTGGGGCATGGGAGGAAGCACTGGGAAGGCAGGACCATCCCGGGCAGGACCCCCGTCCCAGTGTAGGCCCAGGAACCCTGCCCCGCGCTGTGCTGGTGACGTCGGGGTCTGAGACGCAGAGGCTGTGGGTGGGCGCCGGGTCCTGAGGGTTCCTGAGAAATGACACCCCGTCGCCACCCCGTCGTCTGGCCAGTAGGCCGGAGCTGCTGTCCTTTCCGGCTGCTGCTGGTGGCTTTGCACTGAAAGCACGGACATGGGGGTTTCACCTTTAGAAAGTGTTTTCCTTCAAATACAAATATGTTTTGGGTTGTGGAAAAGCTGCCCCGGCCCCTGCCCCGTCCACTCAGTGAACTGCCGCCCTCTTGCTCACTGGATTGGCCCCCTGACAGAAGCAGGCTGCAAGTTTCAGTTTTGAACACCGGGAAGCTGGTCTGTAGAGATGGTCCGGTGGGTGACAGCCCCATCCCGGCCGAACCGCACAGGCTCCACTGCGGTCGGGGTGGAGGGGCCGGGCTGGTGTGTGTTGGGGGTGTCCCCGAGACCTGGACGCGTCAGTAGAGCGGCAGCCCGAGATTTGTTCACGCTCCTTCCACCAGGTCCCAAGTGGCCGGGAAAGCCGGGGGTGGAGGCCAGTGCCGAAGTCAGCAGGGCCCTGTGGCCCCCGGGCTGGGGCGCCGCTGCTAGTGACCGCCTCCCGCTCTCTCCTAGTCATCCTGGCCAAGTACGGTCTGGACGGGAGGAAGGACGCCCGGGCTGTGAGCAGCAACTTCCTCAGCCACGACGCCCAGGACGACAGCCTGGAGGACCCTCGGCTGGAGAAGCTGTGGCACAAGGTACCAAGGGCACCGTCCGCCACCCCAGGGATGCGCGCCCTTGTGCTAACCCCTGCCCTGTCATCTGGCCCGGTGTGGGGTGTCCCACTGGGACGTGTTCTCTTTGTGAGGCTGTACCCATTTCTCCGGGGTCGTGTCTTTCCTGTTCAGAACACTCGCTGCTCTCATCTGGGGTTCCTGTGTGGCCGTCAGAGCTTCCTGTGTTAGGGGTGTGTGGATGACCTGTGGTTAGAAACGGGCTCGTGGTGTAACCAGCGGCTCTTTTCTCTTTGTGCCTGGACAGTTGACCCTTGAACATACGGGGCTTAGTGGTGCTGATCCTCCACACGGTTGAAAATTTGAGTGTAACTTAGTCTGCCCTCTGTGTCTGCGGTTCTGCACCTGCGGGTTCAGCCACCTGCCGAGCATGCACACTGCCTTGTTCTTTGAAAATATCCGCACACAAGCACGTGGATGCACGCGGTTCAAACCCATGTTGCAGGGTCATCTGTAATTTAGTTTGATCCCACGGGCAGGTTCCATGACTCAAGAAAGGCGTGGTCGCCTGGTTGGGGGTGCCAGCCAGGTGGGGATTCAGACTTCATTCTCCTTTGCCCACCAGCTCCTGTCCAGGACATGCTGTCTGGACCACACTGACTGGGGGCAAGAACTGGGGTTCTCCCCCCACCGGATGTGGACGGTGAGCATGGCCGACCGGGGTGTTCACCCAAGGCCACTGTGCTTTCAGGCGAAGACCTCCGGGAAGTTCTCCAGCAAAGATCTGGACAGGCTGTGGCGGGAGTTCCAGCATTACCAGGACAAAGTCCATGAGTACAATGTCCTGCTGGAGACCCTGAGCGGGACAGAAGGTGTGTGAGGCCCCGGGCCCTCCTGTGGGCAGCCCTGGCTCCAGAATGTTCCAGAATGGAGCTGGCCGCTGCTTTGTGAGATCTAGACGAGGCTCCATGCTGCCGTCCCAGGCCCGGGTTCTCATGCATGGGCGCCCTGCTTCCGGTTCCCACAGAAGTTCACGAAAACGTCGTCAGTGCTGCCGACATGACCCGCGTCGAGGAGGAGGTGCTGCGGAGCAGACACGCCGAGCTGAAGGACAGGCTGCGGGACGTGAGCCAGGGCTTCGAGCGCCTGCGGAAAGTCAGCCACCAGGGCTACGGCGCCCAGGCCGGTGAGCTCGCAGCCGTCCCCCACGTGCCCTCTCCCCTGCTCCACAGGCGCACCTGGTGGGGGAACGGGGCCACCTCGAGGGCCGCTCTGGGAAGCCACTGAGCTACTGTGGAGCAACGACTCCGAGGCCCCGGCCATGCAGAGAAGCAGGGGGCACTTCTGACCTCCACCCTGCCCCTACCAGGGCTGCGTCCAGCCAGCTGCTCGGTTTCTCCTGCTAGTCTGAGTCCTTCCAGCAATGCCCCGCGGCCCTGGGCAGCAGGAAGGGGTCCCCCGAGGGAGGAGGTGGAGCAGCTGGTGAGATCAGTGCTGGGCAGGCAGCCAGGGCCACTTGTGCCCAGCCTCCTCCAGAAGGTGGGTGAGAGGCCGGCACCCTCACCGCGTCGGCTTGTGAGCACTGGCAGAGGGTAAGGGGTCCCTTCCATCTGGTTTGCTTCACTTCAGAGCTAGCGGGATGGGCAGTGGCCTGAGCCTTAGCCTGGAACTGCAGGTGGGGGCACCCACAATCTTGACTCCCACAACCCCTTCCCCCTCGTACCCCCCAGCTCCCCCTGCTCACTTGTGGGACTCCTGCACCCTGGGGCGCAGCGGATTGACCGAGGGGCGGGTGGGGGCATCACCGAGGCCCCATTCCGCTGGGTCCCGTACACTGCAGACTGAATGCATGTGGGGAGTACCCGGTCTGCTTCCAGAAGAAACCAAATACACACCTGCACACCAACACTGTGTGCGCACACACAGTCACGCACATGTACGCTTAGACACACATGCTCTGTGCACTCGGGCGCGTGTGGCCCTGGGCGTCCCCGGTGCCGTGCATGTCACTGACCTGCCTGTGTTCTGCAGAGTTCGAGGAGCCACGGGTGATGGACCTCTGGGACCTGGCCAGGGCAGCCAACTTCTCCGAGAAGGAGCTGGAGTCCTTCCGGGTAAGGAGGCGCCAGGCGATGGCGTCTCAGTGACAGTATTTGGCAGCCTCTCCTGGTGAACTTTCTGGGGACGTGGTGGAGGTTTTCTTCCTCAGTCCTCGCAGATCAGTGTTTTCCCAGGGGCTTTCCTCTTGACCCCTGCGTCCCTCCACTGTCCTGGTTGGCAGCCCATGTGAGACAAAGCTGGCCTCCACTGAGTGGACAGTGTGGGGTGCAGGATTTTATGGAACAAGCAGGTGGACAAGGATTTGGAAGAGGAGCCGTTAGGACCCTGCAGGGGGCCCCGGGGCTGGGCCTGGAGGAAGGAAGGGTCTGGGGGTACCTGGGCATCGCCTTCCTGTGGGTCCTGTTGTGACAGAGGCAGCATAGGCCAGCGGGTCGGGGATCAGGGGGGTGCGGGCGCGGGGCTGCTGGGGTGGGGAGTGGGCTCCGCATGGGGCCTGTGGAGTTGAAGCCCCTTGAGTTGTTCAGGAGGCACCTGGTGTGGGCCTGGAGGTGCCTGGGGCAGGGAGGGGGCGGTCGTTAGGGGAGG